TGAGGGCGGCAGAGCAGTGGCACAGGCTGCCCAGAGAGGTGGGGGAGTCTCCCCCTCTGGAGGCATCCCAAACCCGCCTGGACGCCGTCCTGTGCCACTGCTGGAGGTGCCCCTGCTCTGGCGGGGGGTGGGATGGGGGAGCTCCAGAGGGCCCTTCCAGCCCTCACCAGTCTGGGATTCTGTAACTCAAAAGCATCCCCATCCTCTCAACTGAATTCTCCCTTACTGCTCTCCATCGCTGCCAAAGGGCAGAGGAGCTTTGGGAACTCGAGCAGAATCACCAAGCTGCCCCTAAAGCCCGCGGTACCGAAAAGTTAATGCGCGTGTTGGTTTTTCTCAGAGCCTTGGAGCGTGCCGACGTAAGGAGCACCACTACAAACACCAGAGCTCGCTGTTATCCATCCCCATCCATCCCAGCCCGAGCTAAAAAGCCTCTCTCAGAACCACAGATTTATTCTAGCATGACCAGAGCGGCGAAAGCCTGAAGAAGGCAATAACATCCCCGCTCCGACCGCTGTATTTATCTCCGTGCGAGCCGCAGATCTGTTCAGGCCTACCCCATGGGGGAAGACTCAAATAACGCGGAGAGGAGAGAGAGAGAGAGGTTTTTTTTTTCTCGGTGCCGTGCAAAGAGACCAATTAGTGCGCTAGACGATTAAACAGACATTTCATAATGTCAGGCTCGATGCAGTTTGGCGGCGTGCTTCGGATTTCGGAGTGGGCTGCTTCTCCTTTAGCAGACGTTCGGCAGGTCGGCAGTACCATTTCATTTCGTTTCTTCACACTGCTTTTTTTTTTTTTTTTCCTTTTTTTTTTTTTTTTTTTTGCAATTAATGGGACAAATAATTTGTCCAGATGGTGGTGTTAAGTGCACGCAGCAAGAAGACAGCCATTTCGCAACAGATGGCGGCAAGGAAATGAAATGCACAAAATAATAATAATAATAATAATATTAAAAAAGAAAAAAAAGGAGGGGGAAAAAAAAAGGGAAAGATAATTTAAGATGCTCCGAGTCTCACTGTGAATATAATTGCCGTGTTAATTACAAGTGTTGATGAGTCAGAGATGTAGACACTTGGATCCCAAGTGGGTGGAAATCTAAGTTTGAACAAACTCGCCACAGGTGAGGAACCCTAAGAGGTTAATTAAACCTGCTCGGCGCAGAAGACGCTTTGGACATGGCTACATCTCGCTAATTACTCGCTGTCGTTATCCTGGATTAATTCCTTTGGATGGACGCTCCGATCCCAGGCTGAGGAGTCTGAAGGCGCCATAAGCAGACACCATAAAGCTTCGGGCAGATGAGCCCTATAAGACACCGCTTTCCGCCCCGAGGTGGGTTTGCAACGGGGCAAATGTGCAAATGCACGCGGAGGTGTGGATCCCCCCCCGAAACCTCCCGGCAAAGCCGCCACCGACGCAAAGAGGGACAGGTCCAGGTCGTGGTCCCGCTCCCTGGAAATGGAGCGTTAGGGTAACAACTCAGCCCCAAGCATCCCGTGCCGCAGTTTCGCCAGCTCTCACCAATTTATTTTGTTTTTCCCCACAGGATTCGGAGCGGAAAGAACCAGGCTGGGAATGACACCACCAGCGGGAATTATTTTTCAAAGCGTATTTGCAGGTGTCACAGTGGCAGAGATCCGGCCCCAAGCGCACCCTAGCAGTTTGCAAGGTTCTTTTCCCCCTCCTCACGAACCAGCTTCCCTCTTAAAATGCCTCTTTTACCCTTCTAAGCTTTATCGCTTTTAAGATTTTATTTCGTTTACTGGTGGGGAAACTGAGGCAGGGGATGACATGCGACGCGTTGCTGCTGGCAGAGTTCAAACCCATCCGTCTCTGACAAAGACGGGCATCCCAGGGCTGCCTGGGGAGCATCCCTGCATCCGAGCTCACCCTCCGCGAGCCGGGAGGAAAAAGAAAACCAGGTATTTTCTTCCGGCGGGAGAGGAGCCGAACTGGGCAGCCCCAACCTCTGAATCCAAACCTTTCCGCTAAGCAGCAAAACGATGTAAATCGAATCTCTACCCCATTTTGCCCTGGTTCTTTTGACCCAAACACCACCACCCCCCTCCGACGTGGTACCACGGTAGGGCTTCGGGTCCGGGCACAGGACTTCAGGCAGCCGATGTCGAGCCTTGTGGAGCACAGTATTACAGCCAGCTGTAAAATTCCTGAAGATCGGGGCTGTAAGGGAAAGCTGGCGGCATCCCTACCGGCAGGACGGTGAAATCTTTTTTAAGACAGAGGGTTTTTTTTTTTCTGCTGGGAGGCTTTTGGAGGAGACATGGCAGCTCCCCAGCATTCCTCATCCACAGTGTTGAGTCAACTTCACGCCTGGAAAACCCCGTGCCAGGGCTGGGGCAGCTGAATCCCGAAGGAGAGTCCGGGAAAACTCATCTACTGGCCCAATTCATCTTCCAACGCCAGTGAAAAGGCGCAGCCAAGGCTGCTCGGAGACGATCATAAAGTTTATCAAGCAAACCGAGGGGTTATTTTGAGCCAGGACGCGTGGCTGTGGGGAGCCTCCCAGGGCAGAAGCCGGCTCGGGAAGGGAATTTGCATTGCATCGATGGAGAAAATGGAGCTGCCGACACGCAGCGTGAGCTTCCCAGCCTGGATTATCTTGCTTGAGAGATGCAAATGGTATGGGAGCGGGAGATGGAGAGGTTGGTTGGCACCGATTTGGCCCCAGCCCGTGTAAAGCTGCCAAGGACGAGCCCTGGTGCAAGCGCAGCTCTCTCCAGTACCCTGATCCCGAGCAGAAATACAGGTGATCCTTTAATCGCTTCATTACAGCCTCTGCTGCCCCGGCAAGGGAGAGGAAATACCCGGCGAAGGGTCCCAAAACTTGCTTGAAAAAAGGGGGAAAACCCAAACCCGGTAGACCACGTTTCCCTGCCAGTTTGGCGGTTTATCTCCGTTATTTTGCAAAATCCTCTTTGCACCATTAAAAAGAAACATTTTTATCCCAGCCATGGTGTGTTTTTACTGCTTTCGGTGACTACAGCCCTAAAACGCCTTCATCCCCTGCCGGAGGGAAGGCAGGCGGGAACGGGAAGATGCACGGGAGCGCGGGGTGCTGCATCCCGCTCTGCTACCATCGTGCTGCGCGGCCTCGGTTGCATCTCTTCATCTTTGCTTTGCTTCCCACCTTCACAAGGGTTTTTGGGGCAAAATCCTGATCCCAAATAAAACCTCCTGCCTGCGTGGCTGTGCCGAGGATGATGGTGTTCCCTTCTTTTCCGTCTGTTTGCAATGCAAACCCCGTCCAGCTCGTCCCGCCGGCTGCCCGGCACTGGGAACAGCCGGATCAGCTTACGGTGACTTCCCAGGAATCTGCTCCTTTCTCAGGAGAGACGGGAAAGTATTTTTATTCCTGCTACGGAGGAGCCGGGATTAAGTTCACCTCCCAAGGTCACGCCAGACGAGCGTGGCAAAACCAGGAGCAGATTTGGGATCTCTCAAACCAGTGCACTCAGAGCTCCCATCTGTCTCCCCCAAAATAGTGCCCGGAGCATCAATCATTCCCCGTCCTGCCAACACCCTGGGATTGGAAGCCACCTCAAAGGCCCAGGACAGCTCAGAGAGACATCGCGGTGGGTTCAGGGGGCACAGGACCCCCCCACTGAGCCTATGGTCCTGTGAAATGCAATGGGGGGCGGGGGAGGCAGTGCCCTGCCCCTCATTGCCCCTTTAGGGGCTTTTAAAGCGGGGTTCATCAGATGAAGAACAAACCTGACCCCGAGATGGCGGCAGCTGCCTGCGCTGGGGGACGGGTCCAAGGCAGGGGATAGTCCCCCTCCACTCAAAAAATCTGTCCCCTGCCGGCGAGGGCTCTGCAGCACCCGGGGACAGTGTCCCCCCCTGAAATGCCCACCAAGGGGCTCAGGGCGGCCGTGGGAGCTGCCCCCCCCATACAGCGACCCCCGCTGCAGGGGTGCACAGCCC